TTCTGGATAATAAAATAACAATTTTAATATAATATTTAAAATAATAAATGTAGATCCAATATAGTCAACAATGGGGCCAACCTCCAAAATCTGAGCATTCAGTTTGTGGGTCTTTAAATTAATAATAAAATATCTAAAATATTTTATTAAGTTTATTAAAGTAAACGTTTATCGGTTCATTAATTTTACCGGATAAACATGACAAATCGAAAATTTTATCTATAAAAACCAAGAATTTTACTCGGTTAGTACTTACCGTCTAAATTATTACGTACAATATTAATTCTTATTCAATAAAATAAATCAAAATATTAGAGTTTTACCCATAGTCAGCTATCAAATAAGCATATTTAGGTGTCGTTTACCAAACATTTACCCGGGTAAGCGTTTATCAAGTCACATTATTTTACCGGATGAATATGACAAGGACTAAGAATCTTACCCGATAAGAGCGAATGCAAGAATTGAGAGTGTTACCCGGTAAGTGAATGTGACGACTCTTACTATGGTTAGCGTTTACCGGGATAAATTGTTGCATATGCGTTTTGGTGAATAAAATCTTACTCGGTAAATAAACAATAATGTTAAATTTTACCGGTAAACACTTATCAAATAAGTTTTTAGGTAAAGAGAACCTTAAATAAAGAGTATCCAAGTCTTCGTTTGTTTGTTTGATTGGTGGATTTATTCTATATTATCGCAGATCCCGGATCTTTTGAATTTTCTTCCAATGACTTTGGTCAAATTTTGATACAAATTAATAGATTATTAATTAAAATGATTCATATCTTTATTATACTAAAAATATATATTTTATCTTTAAAGAAGATTAAAAAATTAAAATTTATTATTTATTATTATAAACTTTACGTTTAAATTACTGACTAATAAAATTTATTATTTATTAAAAAATTAAAATTTATTATTTATTATTATAAACTTGTGGTTTATTTTTTGTGCTCTAAAACTCAAATTAGTCCCTTCAGTCAACACTGTCATAAGATACTTTGTTAAATGCATCATGTGCCCCTCATGTTTATCCATCACCTTCTTCTTCAATTCAAAAACCCTAATTTATGTAAACCAAGATTTAGGAGTCGTTTACCAAACACTTACCCGAGAAACGTTTACTGGTAAAATTTAACACTATAATTTACTTACCCGGTAAGATTTTAATCCACCAAAACAAAAATAAGAACGCTAACCTAAAATCAAAATAAAAAACAAAAATAAAAATCATAACCTTAAAAAATATCAAGAACCCCTAATCATCTTCATCTCCATCTACATTTTCATGGATCTGCAGAGGGACGATCTACATAGAGACGATCCAGATTTTTACAAGAACGATTTCACAAGGATGATCACATGGACGACTCTATGGTTGTATACAAGAACAATTTTGTACAAGAACGATCCACAGGATGATATGATTTTGGAGCCTATTCGCGGCTGTTTGGCATTCAAGATGGTAAGGGAACGAGGTTATATATAATCATCATACTAGGGTATTTGGAGATTGAATCATATGCAACAAACGAAGAAAACCCGCAAAACAGAAAGCCACGCTACTATGGTTGCGCAAGCGACTGTGTTTGGTGAATATAGCACGGGTGACTTGCCATGCGACCTAGGTTTCGAGCAAGGTTGCGGGAATGCGTCTAGGTGTTTTAGAAGCTCGATTTTTATGATTTTGATTCTTTTTCTTCCCCTTCTCTTCCTTGGAATGATTTTTGGGAGCTTTTGTTGATCCTCTCTCCCAGTGATTTGATGATAATCCCTTTTTCCTTTCGATGTATTTCTGTATCTGTAATTTCAGTTCCAGCGATCATACACTGAGCTTGTTCAGTGATCGCTGAAGAACTTGTTTTGTAATCCATTTAGAGACAACGATACTTCAAGAAAACAACACTCACACCAAAGATCCTTCAGCAAACGTCGAAGACTGAAACTGAAGATTATAGACTGGCGCGTACGTGATCTGAAGCGGTATTCAGTGATTACAAGCCTGTCTAGCTATGTGTGAAGACTGCTCTAGCTTCAGCGAATGATGATGAGACCTTCAGGTCATTCCAGCATTCAGCGATCAAAGGAAGCTTGCTTAGCACGATTGTTGTTGTTTTGTCCTTGTACACGCAAAAGGACAAACCCATACCCTTACCAGAGATAGTACGGTACGGAGCCGATTAGTCGACTCTTTGTCCACCATCTTTAGGTAAAGATGTCTGTTCATAAATAGTGCTTTTGTACTATTTACTGT